TCGATGAACATCATCTACTTCATGTAATAAGTTTTCAAATGTAATTGAAACCTATTATTGGGTGTGCCCTCTTTTGCCTAGGGAGAGAAAGATTTTTGGGTAGAGCAGAAAGAGAGACGAGGACTGTCGAGGCAGGTCAAGGGTACTCCGCTCGATCTTGTCTCCCCGCCCCGAAGTCCACTATTACGTCAACCCCCCCCGCCGTCTCGCGACACGAAGCAGTCTGGAGGTCGTCGACTAGTCCTAGGGAAGCTAGAGAGCGCACGTCAATATGAAGGAAGCGCCCGCAAATACAGCCCGTATAGCTAGTCAAGGTCGAGAGGACTAGACGGAAATATCTGCTCCGATGGGATAGTTTGAATATTCCTCAACTTATAGTCCCGGGCTATTACTGACCGGCCGGTAGCTAGAGCCTTGTAGGATTAACTAATTGAGCCTGTTATAAACTGACCGTCCTAAAACCTTAAGTGCGCCAAAAATTCATGTAATAATGTTCGATTTTTTTCTGCCATTATAGGCCGGATTGCCTTTGGGACCACGTGTGTTGTAAACCGTCCGGACGACCGCCCTAGGGCTACGTCTATTTCATCGACCTTCCCAGTTCGTACTGCTGCTCACTTCTTCGTCATAGAACCCCGGTCAGAGTCGCTACCGAACAGGAGACGCGAGACATCGTACTGACGTTATTCGCCGCTTCCGCACTTCGTAGGCTTCCGCATCTAGCGTAACGGCCCGACGGCGGGCTAACTGTAACTGGCTTCGCTCGTCGTCCGGTGCAGACTCCGGTTTGTGTGTTCCTTAGTGTTTGTAATTCAACAACAAAAGTTTTTTCTCCTATATAAAATGCGTTTACAAGTCCAGGTTTTAAAACATAAACACGAAAGAGGAGAAAAAGTGGGTGGAGGACTAGACTTGGTCTCGGGTCAAAAGAGACTAACCAGTTGCGGTGAACTCTACAGGGCCGGGGAATCGGATAGTGCTTTGCATGTTCACACAACCTCGCGATCGGTTTCATTTTCGCCCTCACAATGAATCACTACATTGAAAACAATTCCTTCATTTGGTTTCCTCAGGTTTAACTCACCGTCTAACCCCTACACACCCTCTCTTTGAGGCGCGAGGGGGACCTCCCTCTCGAACCCTTGTACAATCGGAAACATCTCTTGGTAAAATCGTACCGTGTGTTTGGATATCTTTTTTTTTTTTTTTTTTTTTTTTTTTTTTTGTTTTTTGTGTTGTGATTGCCTTCTCCCTTGTTGGGGTTTTTCCTTTTATCCCGGCACGCAATCCGAGAAAAGTAAACATAAGATGGAGTCAGGTTGAACATTCTTCTTCATCAACTACTTACATTAAAACTACTTCGCCTACTACGCTACAGGGTCCACAACCGGCACACTATAGGTCCTTCATACTTAGACCTCGCCCCGCCCTCGCTCGTCCGGGAACAACTGAGTCAGAACTTTATAGGACTTACCGCCATCTACCAGTAGAGCTTTGCCGATTGTCTGCGATCCGTTAGTTACTTCTAACAGGAACGTGTCTACCTCTCATACGAAATTTCACAACAAGATTCTACACTTTGTAAAAAAATTAACTATCAATGAAAAGAAAACTAGAGACCGAACGTACGTAACTATAACTCCATCTAGGTTTTCTTGCCTTTATGGAGCCAATGTAAATGAAACTTGAATTAAAAAATCTATAGAAAAAACCAACACCGAACGACAAAAACAAGAGGAGTGGGACTCCATATCGCGCGTCGTCACAGCAGTCTAAAGGACGTCCCCGCTTGGGTCAACCGACCTAGGTGGCGTGAGAATATGTCGTCGTCTTAAGAAGAACGTACAGTAGGGAAGACCTGTAAAAAAAAAAAAAAACAACCAAGACTCATCAGAAGACCGACACCTGCTTGGTATACGTAAGCATATACCATCATTTTACATTCCTACCCAGGTCTATAGTCCCCGACAATGACTCTTACAACTTCGTCGTTTAATAAATATCTTTTAAGATGCGTGCGTTCGTAAATGTAAATTTTAAGAGACCGGTACGGAGTCTAATGAAACAAATTTTGGAACTAAACGAGGACGTTGTCAAATAAATTTCGATATTATGATATTGATGCACAATTTTATAAACAGCACTTAAGTTAGTAACTCACAAAACAGATAAAAAAAAGATTCAGTCCGTAAACAATTGTTGATCTATGTGTTTTACGAAAAAATTATTATGTTCTACTATGAAAAATTATGTGAATAAAAACGTTTTGTTTCGTACGGCATACAAATGTTTTCAGTATTCGAAAACAGATATTAGTATTGGCACGAAACAAAACTTTTATTCACATAATTTTTCCATAGGTAAACAATACTATGTTTGTAAAAACACTAGACACAAATTCGGTTTTACGACGAAATCTTTTTTTTATCTGTTGGGAGTTACTAACTTAAAGTGCTGTTTATAAAATTGTGATCAAATATAATACAATAGTTCGAAGATTTACTTTTGAACGTCTTACGGTCAAATTTGTTTCATGTAACTTCCACGGTCTACTTAAATTACATTTTACACCACATCTTAGATTTTTATTACACCGACGAGTTTAATCGACGTCATGTCGGGAATACGCGACTGATAGGAATGTGAAATAATGAAGTATATATGTTACTACACTAAGACAGGTGTCCCGTATTTTTTTCTGGATGAGTCTTCAGGTCTTTTCCTACTGTACCTTTTCTTAAGACGCGACATATCGTCTCACCGCCACCTAGGTCCGGTGACCCAGCCGGACGGTCTTTCGACTGCTGGACCCGACCGATTCGGACGTCCCCCACCCCTTTGTTTGGTCGTTCGGGTTGGTTTTTCTATTAGATTTTTTAATTTCATTACATTGGTATAAAAGGGCAATGAAAACCTAATGCGAGTTATAGTTTACGTTACGTTCGTCTCTGTTTTCTTTTATTATAGTAAGTTTTTTTTTTACAAAGTGTAATCTTGGTTGTTGTAAATTTCTATTGAGACGGTAGACACGTCCTTTTGAAGTTACTACGATTCGAGACAATCGCAAGCTCTACTGGTAGGATGGCGTTAGGTCCCTTATGAAAGTTCTGGACTCCTTGGTTCGACAGCGGAGGGGCGGCGGCGTCTAGTAGAAGGTCACTATAGTCGTGCCGTTGTGGACCGTTTAGCACGTAGTAGGCGAAGTAGTTTATAAGTAGTTGATCGAAGAGATGTTCAAAACCTCGAACTCATTGTTCATGTTTGACTTTTCTCCGGATTGCTCGACGGCGATAAAACAGGAAAAACCCAAAAAGGAAGAAGCGCATCCACAACATTCCAAAATCACACGTACATTACTACCAGATGTTTCCGAATTGTACAATCGGGTTCAGAGGAGGTCTCCCTCAAAGAGCAGGGTTGTGTGAGGGGTTTAGGACGGAGTTAACCTCGAGGAAACAAATCGAAGGAATTGTTCAATGAGTGATTCATTGTAGGGCGAAAATAACCGATCGCGAGTTGTGTAACATTAGCACTTCCGATTCCCCGGCCCTGGTAGAGGTTCACCAACTTGGTTAGTCTCTTTTGACGCCCGAACCAAGCTGGGTCTCACCCACCTTTCCTCTTCGTGTTTATGTTTAAACCTGGACTTGTAAACGATTTATGATAGGAGAAAAACTTCTTGTTGTGAATTTACAAACATAAGGAACTACACAAAACGGAGTCGTCACGGAGCGACGAGCACCAGTTACAGTACCCGTCGCCTACCTGAAGATGCGGTACGAAGTGCGGAAGCGGGACTAAACCGTCAGTACATGTCTGCGTCCTCCTTTCGGTAGGCGTACTCTAGACCGGGTTTTATTGACGAGAAGGAGCAGCAGTACCGACTGGAAGGTCATGAAATAGACGTAGACCCTAGGGCGGTCGTCGGACGTTTCCAAACACACTTGGTCTCCAAAAGGCATCGGCCATAATGGCAAAAATCGATACATTTACATAACTTTTTTGGCATTTAAGTTTTTGGACCGGTCAGTTTTACAGCGTCATTATTAACTCCCTAACAAGCGCTAGGCTAACCGGCGGTCAGAATAGCCTGCTATAAGTGAGGAATTATCAACTATCCACGGAGATATTTCCGGTCTAGTTGAATGTAATAATTATGTTGTTTGTTGTAGCGTATCATTTATTGAAAAATGAATCTGAATTTTTCGATCTGTTACGATTATAAACTGAAGCAATATAAAAATGAACCCCATTAACTGAGTTTTAAACATCAGCATATCCGGTCATAGTCTGCTACACAGTTCTTATTATTATTATTGAAACATGACCGGTAAGTTTCAAATTTGTCCGGTAAAATAAATTCTGTCCGGACATTTGACCAGCGAGAAAAAATCCTAGCGGAAACCCTGGTGTGAACAACAAGGCCAGATTGTACTTATTGCTTTGATATCAGGACACAATCAAAGACTATTGTCCCTATCAATCCACCAAGCATTTTACAGTCAATGGGGCCATTATTTAGTGCATAAAAGGCGAAAGGCTCCTCTGCATTTGTGAAGTTTCATCTGTTGTTTCAATGTCAAAGCTTTAATTGTCACAAATGCCATTCTTTTAAAGTGATCCACAATCATAAATCCTATATGTCCGATGATAATGGCGTATGTTTTTATTTCAGACTATCCCTGGAGGTTTCCCAACTCTACGACTGACTCCAATGTGGTCAAGTGGCTCTATGTTCCAGATTTCCGCACCCCGCCTAATCCATCGTTCCTCATCTGTAGGTTTTTCACTTATAGATGTGTAGTGGTTATTGCGAATGTGTATAAGGGCCATTGTAGGTTAAATAAATTATTACAAATTGGGTAATATTCAGAGAAAATAACTCAAATGAATGCTTTGAATTTAGGCAGAAAAACACCTTTTTGTTAAGGTACCACATCGCTTAACATTACAAGGTGTGATAACCCTCATAACACCACGGACGCCGTTATATAACCAGTTTCCATACTGTTGCACCTCCTCACTAAAATGTAAATGTATCAGGGGCTTCTGTGGTATGATGTTGATCCAAGTCAGCAAAGTGAAGCCATGTGGTTGCTAAAAAAGTTTATTTTGCGTACATTTGTTAATCTCAGAGATTTGTGGATGTATCTGTGCCTTCAATCACAGAAATTCTGAAGAAACTCAGTAGTAATCTATTTTTTAAACCTTCTATCCTCATCACAGGTAATAATACCAATTGTCATTAAAGGTCACCTATTATGCAAAATCTACTTGTTCATGTCTCTTCTACATCAACAATATATATCTGTGGAAAGAGACTCTGAAAGTTTCAGGAAAAAAGATTCTCTCTCTTTTTGTCCTGATCCATTTATATAAAAAACCTGTCTGAAAATGAGCTGATCAGATTTTGGCCACTTTATGATGTCATAACGATGTGTTGTCTTGTGTAACTATTAGCCAATCACCAACCAAGGTAACCCCCCCCCTTATCACCTGAATCTCCTCCTAGAGCACCATTGTGTTCTTTTTAACCAAATCTCTCTCAGAGGGGCGTGGGGAGGGGCTCCTTATTTTCATCTAAAGTAACAGACAGAGAATCAGCACTTTTGAAACAGGGCTGAAACAGAGGGGATTGTGGGTAATGCTGCAATGATCTGTTTGGTGTTTGGAGCAAAACACTTTAGAGACATGTTTGTATAAATCTGAGACCTGTAATGTATTGATGAAAAACAGTATGATAGGGGACTTTTAAAGTTTCTTGTATTATTACGACCAAGATTTTCCCCACAAGTGAAATGTCTCCTCTCTGCTTCTCCAGATGACTTCATGCTGCTGCTGTGTGCCTCGCTCCAGAGGCAGGTCTTTGAGGATGAGAACAAGGCGTCGGTCCGCATCATGGCTGGAGACAACGTGGAGATCTGCAGAGATCTGGACGCCGCCTCCTTCAGCGTCCACAACCCCGTCCCCGATTTCATCCACTGCAGGTACAGATAGGGTGACCAGTTGTCCCGCTTTGTGTGGGACTGCACAGCATTTTTGTCATTTGTCTCACACATTTAGCCGATGTCCCGCATTTGATTGACAGTCGCCCGTCTAAAACTTGGCTTTATCCAAAGGTGTTGAGAAAACAAGAGAGGGCTATCACCATTAGCTGTGTCAGATGTCAATCAATCAACAGAAAACATTGATTTACTTATGGGTGTAGCCGGTTGAGGGAGATTCCCAGACACAAAAACACGAGAATATTTATTGATGATAAAAAATGTTGAAAAAAATTCCATTCAAAATTGATATTTTTAATTACTTCACTTGCATAGTTTGTGCAAACAATTAAACCATTGTAAAGCGTTGTAAATAATATTTAGAAGCTAACAGTTTCTAAAGAAATGTTTATTTTTAAGGGTTGGATAGACATTATATTTAATTGTAAACTAGCTCTTAGCAAAGCATTAACATGTCCCGCATTGTCCGCACAAACGTAATCCCACATTTGGCTTGGTCACCCTAGGCACAGAAACGTACATCAATGTTTAGCTACATTTACTGCAGCAGGAAGTGGAGCAAGTATGTTTCCGTTTTATTCCTATCAGAGCTACTTTGGTAAAGTTTATGGCACTTGATCCGAGACTTTTATTTCACTTATATTAGATTTTACAGTACCAGTAAACATTTTATAGTTTGAATGCCATTTGAGCCCGGCATCACCAAGAGGGACAAGATGCATAAATGGAGAGGAAGTGAAGTAGCCAGTTAAATTGATCCTTAATGATGTTAGATGCTTACAATTTTGTCAAAAGAGACATTTGTTCAAAACAAGCAGCACTATTAAGAAGGTTTTGTATTTGTATAATATATGGGTTACATCCCACTGTATGGATGTGAATGCTTGTGGTCTCTATGTAGAGTAAAACTTTTTGTATACGTTTTTAAAAGGAAAACACTAACTTTAGAGTTTAACCATATTTGTTATTTGTTCCTACCAATGCAGAGATGTCTATTTAGGTCTAAGGTTTACTAGATTATACACTGATACAAAATGTATTATTTGGTAGATTAAAGAGGTGGCTGTTTTTATTCAAAAAATGTAAAACCCACTGTACCGAACATGCTCAACACCAAACAGCAGACGGACACAGTTAGCGAATAGCGGGTGAAAATAGTGGAACATTTGGCAGCTAATGTGCCAGATATTTCCTCCAGGAGTTGGTAGGGACCAGACAAGATCGTTAAAACAGAGTAAATACTGGATTTCATCATGTGAATACAAGCATGAATGCAAATCAATAATAACATTTCTCCAAAACGACTGAATTTGTAAGTAAACATCTGTTTTCTAACCCTATCATAGCTTAAAAATGTTAATGTCTATGGTTCATGACTTGTTTCTTCTGCCCCAAGAAAGAAAAAAAAGAGAAATACTTATTGCAAACCAGGATGTGACTGACGTAAATGATCAATTAGTGCTTTGAGTTGAGTGATGGGGTGAAAGGCAGTGAAGCAAGCTGCAGGTTTGATTTCCCTCCCTGGTCGGGTACATTTAGAAAAGTATAAAGAAAGGCATCATACTCCTCAGAAGTCGGTCTAATAAGACTCCTCTCCAGTGGAGCTGCTCCGATGCTAACTCAGGAGAACACTGCTGTTATACTTGGCTGCTTTCTGCGTTGCTGTACCAATCCTAAGTGGAGTGGTGCTGAATAAGAACATACTCTCTCAGCAAATCCTTTATCCTAGACAAATATAGGTGAGACAGATGACCGTAGCTTAGTGAGAGACCCATTGTATATACAGAAGTCTGGCTGTTGTCCCATATTTGAGTTCAGAGCTGGATCCTGACTTTTCTCATGAAAAGAGTGAAGAGAGATTTCTTTGAGAGGCAGGGAAATAGACAGCGAGTCAGAAAGACAGCGAGAGCATCCTGACCTGTCCACAGTCATTGATTATGTGCTCTTCACATTCCACTGTTTTGATGCGCAAAGTGGACAAGTCTTTTATTAACGCACTCTGTGTCCATCAACAAGCCCCTAGTAGAGAGAAGAGAGCAGTACAGCCCGTCTGTCCGCGCCGCAGCAGCTCTGCACTTATTCCATCGTTTCCCTCCAGGATCCAATTACGGATACGGGGTGGGGGGAGAAATCCATAATCCACAAAAACACTCTGTCCGTCACTCCGCGACTCAGGCGCTTTTGTCCTGTACTCTAACTCAATAAATAGCTTTTAAGTATGGAAAAGGTATTTTCTCCCCCTGATGAAGAAGGACACTCACTCAGCGATTCCGGCCCATCAACGCATCGTCCGATCCAAACCCACTTCATCACAGCTGCTTCCTCAACAGTGCAGCTGCTGTTGTGGTCCCATGTTTTCCCCAGGTCAATCCAATTAATGCAAGTTGCTTCCTATGTATCCTCTCCACACATTATATTGATGGTCTCTCACCTGAAAACAATACTTTTAGCATGTTACACACACGCAGAAGTGACCATTATGAACCTGCGCTGAGTGACAGGAGTCTGGTTTCACGACCATCGATCAGACTCTTACCGGAGTCCTGACCCTAAGCAGTACCCTAAGTGTGATTGATGGGAGGATTATGCTCACAGCAACACAATGAACTGGAATACTGTTTTAAATTGTATGATGTGGTATTAGCAATTTAGCTCAGCTGGCCAGGGTCCATGTTGTTTATTTTTAACCCCGTGTAAAATTCAGCTCATAAACTTTGGTCAATCTCAAGTTAATTTAATTCAACATTAAACAATAAAGTCACAATAATAGGGCGGGACAATTACTTAGAATTTTACTGAAAACGCAAATAAAGTTGCATAAAATAAAAAAAGTGATGTAACATCCAATATAAACGGCACAAATGCATCTAAATTAAAGTGGCTGAATAGTAAACACAGTCCACTTATTGCCTCTTAAAATGCTGCAATAATAAAAATCTAATTTAGGCTATGATTCCATGTATCAGGTGTGACTGCAGCGTTGAATTTTGGGTAGCTGTTTTGGAATAATGTGTTTCCTAATGTTGGCATGAATGCAGCCAGCTAGTTACGTCTCGTTCACTTAAGCCAGATCACTTCTAGGAATTAGAGTAATAAAACAAACAATGACATTTCTCTGACATTTAGACCTGGCAACGTATCTGAAAAATAATCTATATATTGAATCTGTCATCATTTTGTTGAAACAGTGCTGACATAATCGTTTTTCCACTGTCCTCTAGGTCGTACCTGGACATGCTGAAGGTCATCATGTTCAGCTACCTGTTCTGGTTCGTGCTCACCATCATCTTCATCACGGGGACAACGCGCATCAGCATCTTCTGCATGGGCTACCTTGTGGCCTGCTTCTACTTCCTGCTCTTTGGTGGAGAGCTGCTGCTCAAACCAATCAAAAAGATCCTCCACTACTGGGACTTCCTGATCGCCTACAACATCTTTGTCATCACCATGAAGAACGTTTTGTCTGTGAGTAGACCATCAAGGAGGCGTGTGGCGTAGTGGGTTAGTGCGTTGGTGTTCGGATCAGGGGGAGTACAGGTTCAAACCCCACTGCAGTCAGCATGGCGTTGTGTCCCTGAGACACTTCACCCCAAATTGCTCCTGTGGGGATTGGCCACAGTATTGAGTATGTAAGGCGCTTTGTATAAAAGCGTCTAAACAAGTAACATGTAATGTAAAATGTGATGTATATCAGGAACATAATCAAAATAACTATATCATTTTCTAACCAGGCATTGAAACAAACCAACAGAAACACAAGTATAACTATAGAAACATCGGTGCAGTTAAGTTCCAGTTTAAACACAATTGAGGTTTTTCGTCCCTTATGTCTCATTGGTAGAGCTGTAACTAATTTGCAGACCAGTCATATAAAATTGTTACGGACATACATAAAGTTGAACATTTGGTTTAAAATGAACGATTCTTTGCAATTGACATCAATACATATTCTTTCAAAAGAGAATCTTCCACCTCTTCACATCATATATTCAAATCCTACATACCGTTCATATGAGGTGATATGATATTAGGATTTTAAAACTTCCTATTTCATGAATTTAGAAGAAAATCTCCTTAGATTAAACTTCTTCTCAGTATTTTAAGATAAGAGAGTTCACATCAGAGGTGATACTTAAGATATGAAGATGTAATATATATACATACAGGGTTCTTACGGTCATTAAAAACCTGGAAAAGTCATGGAAATTCAAAATGCAAATTCCAGGCCCTGGAAAAGTTATGGAAAACAAT